GGGGGGGGGGGGGGGGGGCGGCTGTGTGCATGTGCAGAGTGCAGCTGGCGGTCTTTCAGGGTGGCCATTTGACTCCCCAACTTCCTTCCCGGCAGCTGTGCAGGGAGCACGGGATCAGGTTCTTCGAGACCAGCGCTAAGTCCAGCTTGAACGTGGAGGAGGTGAGGGGGGTCTGCGTGGCCTGGGGACCCTCCCCCACCCCAAACACATAGAGAGGCACAAGGACCCTCTTTGGGCTTCCAGTCCACCCCACCCCCCCGGCCATCGCCTCTGGGCGGCAGGAGACGAGGCAGCCTTGGGTGGCTGGGTTGGGGACCCCGGGGGGCCTTCTGGGGAAGCGTGGGGGTGGCTTCTCCAAGGAGTAAACGGCCCAAACCCGTTGATTTGTTTTCTCTCCTCCACTTTAGGCCTTCAATACTTTGGCTCGCGACATTCTGCTCAAATCGGTCAAGAAATCGGTGAGAGTCGCCAAGTGGGGAGGGAACAGCTGGTAGAATGGGACCCAATCCCTCCCCTTCCTCCTCCTCCTCATTCCCCTCCTCTTTCTTTCTCTTTTTCCTTCTGTTTTTCTTTTGTTTTTCCCCTCCTCCACCTCCTCTTTCTCCTTCCTCCTCTTCCTTTCCTTCTCTTCTCCTTCCTCCTTCTTCTCTTCTTCTTCCTCCTCTATTCTTTCTTCTCCTCCATAACCTCCATCATTTTCTTCTTCCTCCTCCTCTTCCCACTCCTCTTTGTTTTTTTCCTCCTTCCTTCTTCTTCCTCCTCTTCACTTTCCTTTCTTCTTTCTCCTTCCTCCTCCTCCTTTCCCTCTCTTCTCCTCTTTCCTCCTTCTCTTCTTCCTCCTCCTCCTCTATTCTTTCTTCTCCATAACCTCCATCATTTTCTTCTTCCTCCTCCTCTTCCCACTCCTCTTTCTTTTTTCTCCTTCCTTCTTCTTTCTCTTCCTCCTCTTCACTCTCCTCCCTTCTTCTTTCTCCTTCCTCATCCTTTTCCCTCCTTCCTCCTCCTATTTTTTCTTCCCCCCCATCACCTTCATCATTTTCTTCTTCCACCTCTTCTTTTTTCTCTTCTTCCCACTCTTTCCCTTCGTCCATAATCACCTCCTCCTTCCTCTTTATCTCCTCTTCCTCCTCCTTCCCCCTCTATCTGTGGTCAACCAGGCCCTCACTCTGCGATGCCTTTTCCTTCTTCTTCCAGGCTCAGCTCCCCAAGAGACCCCTGGAACTGAAAGCCGCACCAAAACCCAGCTCCAAGTGCTCTTTGCTGTAACCGCTAGGAAATGCTCCTCTCCTATCAAGGCCATTCCGCTCGGGTGGGGCTGGTTCTCCCCTCTCCCCTCCCCCCCTCGAGACTCCCGAGTTATTTCAGGCTGGACCCTGGCAGGACTTGGGAGACACTTTCCACAACTCCTTCTCCTCCTTTCTCTTTTCCCATTCGGCAGTTTAATTTTTTGCAGGAAAGGAAGGGGGAGTTTGGGGAGGGAGGGGGGGTGTCCCAGAGCTGAAGGAGAGGTTGAAAAATTGGGGAGGGGACGTTAATAACTGGAGATGCTCCCCCCTCCCAAATCTCTGCATTTGCCAGATGTTTTGGGGCGAAGTTTGTCAAAGTTTGCAACTTTAAAGATCGGCGAACTTCAACGCCTAGCCTTGCTAGCTGGGGAATTCTGGGGAATTGGAAAGCCCCCTCCCCATCTTTAAAAAGTTGTTAAAATAGAAAAATGCCACGCCCTGAAGCTCCACAGCACCTTTAACACTGATAGGAAAGAACCAGATTAGGAATCTCTCAGCAGGAGGAGTAAAAAAAACCCCTCCCTTTTTAAAAAAATATATATATAAATAAATGTACATATATGTATTTCTGTCTGCTGGGATTCTCTGCACTTTGGATGGGTGGAAACCTGGAATATGGCACCCAGAAAGAACCCGTCGTATGTTGGGGGGACCAATTTGCCTTTTCTAAATCTGCGAAGACGATTAAATATTTGCAGTTTTTTTCCGAAGATCCGGTGTGTGTTGAAAAGTCATTTTCTGGATTCCGGGAAGGGAGGGAGGCAAAAGAGAGGGAGAAACAGCCAGGGAGGGGTCCTTCTGTCCCGACCCCTTGCACGGAAAGGGAGGGGCCACTCATATTCCAACCCACCAAGCAGGGTGGGTGTTATGGGAAAATAGGGGGGGGGAGTATTATGGTAGGTTTGAGATTTTGAGTTACTCACAAAAGGAATAGAGGCAGGAGAATAATAATAATAATAATAAAATATCTATATCCATCTCTCTGAAGATGAGTTTTTAGTACATGGTATAGATAGATAGATAGATAGATAGATAGATAGATNTACTAATACTACTACTAATACTACTACTAATACTACTAATAATACTACCAATACTACTAATAATAATACTACTACTAATACCAATAATACTAATACTAATGATACTAATGATGATGATGATGATGATGATGATAACAACAATACTAATACTAATACTAATACTACTACTACTACTACTACTACTACTACTACTACTACTACTAATAATAATAATAATAATAATAATAATAATAATAATAATAGCGACATAACAACAAATCTCATCTTATCAGCAAAACCCAACATCCAACTTTCGTTCTTTCCCCCCTTATCTCAAAACCATCCAGAAGCGTTTTTTCCCCCCCAGCGGAGATGAGATCAGAAGCCTCCCAAATGAAATAATCATCATTTAAATAAAACAACCTTGATCAATAATATTGATCAATCCCGAGGATCGATAGCCATAGAAACCCTCCTTTAAAAAAAAAAAAAAAACACCCCTGAAATTTTGCATTTTTTTAGTCCTCCGTTGCAAAACAAGGATGGGGGGGGGGGGAAAAACTGGATGCTTTACGCAAAGGCTCCCTCTCCCCTCCCCCTCCCTCCCTCCCTCCCTCCCCCCCTCTGGCGGAGGAAGGCCCTCTGTCCATGCTCAGAGGCGCCCTTCTCTCTCCCACTCCTTTGGGAAGGAAAGGAATGAATCCCCAGCAGCGGGATCTCCTCCCTCTCTGACTCAAGTCTGCCTTGGAGAGAGAGAGAGGGGGGGGGCTGCTTCCCTGCCCATTTTGGGGAGGGGGGAGGGAGGGGTCTGGGCGTCCTTGGCGGAGGAGGAGGAAGAGGAGGAAGAGGAGGGGAGAAGCCCAGCCCCTCCTTCGCCAAAGTTTCTTCCCAGCTGGATTCTCCGCTTCCTTTCTTTTCTTTTCTTTCTTTTTCCCCCCTTCTTTTCTTTCCAGGAGATCCCAGCCCACCCCCCAGCAGGGAGGAGAGGGGCGAGACCCCCTCCCCAAAAATGGCCAAATCGTACGACCACCTCTTCAAACTCCTCCTGATCGGGGACAGCGGGGTGGGCAAGACCTGTCTCATCATCCGCTTCTCCGAGGACAGCTTCAGCGGCACCTACATCAGCACCATCGGTGAGGAGGGGGCTTCTGCGGAGACCCCCCACCCCTGACCCCTGACCCTCCTTGCCCCCCCAACCCACATAAGAGCAGGACACCAGGGAGGGACTCCTGTGAGTCCTTCTCCACTCCGTCACATCTCGGGGTGTCTGTGTGTGTCTTTCCACCCCCCCAAAACCGGACCCCCAGGACGTCCCCCTATCCCACCCTTGGGGCTGTGGATGATGGGGGTCGGGAAAAGGGGGAGAACCCTGCTGGGAAGGGAGTTGGGGGGGCAATCTGCGGTCGTCCGTCCCCCCTCCTATCCAATCTTTATAATGATTGGGGTGATGAGAAGTTGATTTTGGGGGGGAAATTGAGACTTTTGGGGTGTGGCTCATCCATTCTCGGGGTCCCAAAAGAGCCTGGGGGTGCATGGGAAAGACTACAGACCCCCCCCCCCACTTCAGAGGAGCATTTAAGACCAGGGAAGAAAAGGTCAAAAGAAATGTCCCAATTTTGGATCCATTTTTTTGGGGGGGTGGCGGGAGAAATAATAATAAAAGAAATCCAAACTCCACGAGGACTAGAATCTTGGTGAAGCTTGAGGAGGGACCTTTCAGGGCTCATAGCCCCCACCAAGGTCGAAGTTCAATCCATAGGCTGGGAAATGGGTCCCTACTCACCTCTCCCCCCCACCAAAAAAAAGGATTGGAGACCCCAAATTGAACCCGGGGATTGCCGGCGAAGTAAACCTGGTGTAAACTGTGAGTAAGGACAAATTCCGGGTTTTTTCTCCCCCCATTGCAGGCATCGATTTCAAAATCCGGACGGTGGAAGTGGAGGGTAAAAGGATTAAATTGCAAGTTTGGTGAGTGCTTCTGAGAACGTGCAGATTTCCTCTGTGGGTGTGTATGTGGGGGTGAATTGTGGAGAAGGGAGGTGGATTATGGGTTAAGGAGTCAAAAGCGCGGGGGGGGGAGCAGGACTCTTAGTGACAGCTGCAAAAATCTGTAAAAATGTTTGCAAAAGAGAGGAAGAAGGGAAAAAAAGAAGAAATATTATTTGGGGGAAAGATCTGCAGCTGGATGAAAACGGGGGTTTTAATTGCAGGAGCCCCCTCCAAGCAGAAGGGGCTGGGGGAGGCACATGGGTTAGGGAGTTAGCTGTGCATGATGGGGGGTTAGAGTCCAACATATCGGCAAATTTCGGATGCGGGGGNGATAGATAGATAGATAGATAGATAGATAGATAGATAGATAGATGATAGATAGATAGGATATAGATTGGATAGATTGATAGATGATAGATAGATAGATAGATAGATAGATAGATAGATAGATAGATAGATAGGAATATATTGTCCGTCCTCTTTCTCCAGCCTGCAACCGAAGACCCGAAGTGCCTCGTCGCAACCAAACGGACTGGAGCCCTTTGCAAGATTCGCCCCCTTCCTCCACTCGCGCGCGCGCGCGCAGAAGCGCCTCCCGTTTCCCCCCCCTTTCCCAGAATGCACCGGGCGAGTGAGGCGGAAGTGCCTGCCGAGGATGGGGCCCAGGTGGCGCCTGGCGCTGGGGGCGCTTTTGGGGTTGGTGGTCGCCCCTTCGCGGTAAGGGGCTCCTGGTGGGTGCGTGGGAGGGTGGAACCAGAGAGGGAACCGTTTTAGGAGGTGGTGGTGGGGGAGCCTCTTCCTTGAGGGCCCATGCTCCCCAGCCAGCTGCTCCTGGGTTGGACTACAACTCCCATGGTGCGCAGGGCCAATGGGGAGGGGGAGGATGAGGGGTGTAGTACAACCCTTGGGTGGGTGGGGGGGCAAAGGGGGGGTGTTGAACCCCTTTCTAGGCCCTCTCTGCGCCTTTGCTTGCTGGCTGGGGATGATGGGTGGGGTAGTCCAGCCCACCCACCTGCCAGAGGCTTCCCTTGAAATTTAAATTATATTTAATGCTGCTAAATTAGGGGGCAAAAAAAAAGGGGGTTCCTGCCAAAATATGGGGATGATGGAGTGGTTTAATTTTAATTTTACTTTAATTTTAATATTACTTTAATTTATTTAATTTTAATTAATTTAATTTCAATTTCAATTTATTTTGCTTTTACTTTTAATTATTTTAACTTTACTTTTAATTATTTTTACTTTATTTTTAATTAATTTAATTTCCATTAATTTAATTAATTTGCCACGTAAATTGCCACGTAAATTAATGAATCAGTCCATCCATCCCCTTCGGGGGTCCGGAATGGGGCTGCCCCCCCCCCACTTCTTCCTTGCAATGCAGCTGACCCCCCCCCTCTCTTTTCGCCCTCTCGAAGGTCAGCCGAGGGACTCGCCGAGAACGATGCCAAAGCACCCGGTAAGCATTTCGCACTCGGCACCGACCGGGAGGCCCCGGGGTACGGCCGTGACGATGAACCTGTGGCCTTCTCTGCGGGCGCGCCAGCCATCGCCCCAGCCCAGCTCCCGCTGGCCAGCTGGTCTTCAGATCTCTGCCACGCATACTCAGTGGAGGAGGGCTGCCTATACGGGGGGGGGGGCACGTGCATCCCCACTTCCTACTCAGTTTTGGGCCAGGAAATCCTCCTGCCCCAACCTGGAAGCCAAATCTGGGTGGGGGGGACGCATACACGGGGGCCAACAAGGTTAGCCATCCCTGGGGGGTGGTCTCGGCATACCCCCCCCCCCAAAAAGGGGGCATGTGGGCTATTCTCACTCCATTGTCCCGTTTTCCCGCAGCGAGCCTGACGGGCACTACTCCGTGTTGGCGGAGGGAGGATTTCGTGGTTACGACGGAGTGCTCCCCTTGCACGAGTTTCCAGATTGTAAGTGGGGTTTGGGGTGAATTTTGGGGAAGGGGGATACCTTGGCAGGAGTTCAAGGGGGGGGGGCAAAGGATGAACGCTCTTGTGTCTGAATTGTGTGCCTCGCTTGGTCATCGTTTCGGGAAAGCGACAATCCACGATTCACGAAAATCCACCTTGTACAGAGAAGCAACGGGCCTCCTCCTGGGACGGCCGTTAGTCCTCGACGTACGACCCCATTGGGCCCAAAATGTCCTTCGTTAAGTGAGCTTCGCTCCAGGTTCCTTGCCACAGTTGTTAAACGAAACGCTGCAGTCGTGAAGTTAGCAACACGGTCGTTAAATGAATCCGGCTTCCACTTTGAATTTGCTAGTCAGAATGTCACAAAAGAGGATCACATGACCACATACACACACACGTACACACACACACACACCCTGGCGACTGTCATAAATACGAATCGGTTGCCCTGAGTCCAAATTTTGATCTACGGGAACTCGGGGGATGCCGCAATGGTCATAAAGGTGTGAAAAATGGTCATAAGTCACTTTTTTCAGGGCCGTTCAGTAAGTTCGGTCACTAAACAAATTGGTTGTAAGATGAGGACGGCCCATTTTTTACAACATGCCTCTTCTCGCTTGTAGAAAACCATGTCGGAATGCGGCGTCACAGGTTTTGTCGAGCAAATCAACTGCGGGGTCTCCAAGAAGGGCGAATTCAAGAGGTGGGTGATGCGCTTGGGATCCATTTCTCGACCTTGGCAATTGTCTTTAAGAGGGGCGGACTTCAACTCCCAGAATTCCCCAGCCATACGTCTTATGTTTTAAAGCGTGCTAGCTGGGGGATTCTGGGAGTTGAAGTCCATCCCTCTTAAATGGGGGATTCTGGGAGTTGAAGTCCACCCCTCTTAAATGGGGGATTCTGGGAGTTGAAGTCCATCCCGCTTTAAGCATGCTGGTTCGGGGATTCTGGGAGTTGAAGTCCATCCCTCTTAAATGGAGGATTCTGGGAGTTAAATTCCACCACTCTTAAATGGGGGATTCTGGGAGTTGAAGTCCACCTCTCTTAGCCACCTCTACTGTCTGACAATTAATTTACAAGTAGGCGGATTATTGGGGTCCCCCCCCCAATACACAACATGCCTCCCCATGGCTGTGATACAAATCTCATTAGCAGTCCGAAGTCCAGGATCCCCTCTTATCTCGGCATCCTTGGCTCAGCAGGGACCCGAGAGGTCCTCTAGTCCAGCCCCCTTTCTCCGGGTTTCCTCCCCCTCGGCGGAGCTGCTGTGACCTCGGCCCTTTTCTCCCCGCAGTTGCCGCTCTTTGGAAATGGAGACCCGGGCTTTCTGGAGGTTTGAAGGTGCCATGCTGGGAGCCGCCGGCGTTTTTGCCCTTCTGGTGGTCTTCCGCCAGCGGGTCCTCGACGGAAAAGCCTTGGAGAAAGTGAGGAAGCAGATCGAATCGATTTAGGGCTGGTTTCGGGCGGAATGGAGCGGGACGGATCGAGACTTTTGTTTAGCCGCAGGGAGGAGCAGTGTAAGTCTTGCCTCCCCCTCGTTCGGAATCCCCCTCCCGCTTTCAGCCGCACTCCCCCCTCCCACGGACCGGTACATTGGGGGGGGGGCCCACCCCCGCTTCCTGATCTTTCATCTCTGGCCGTTTTGAAATCATTCAATTCGAACTGGCTTCCCGGCTGGGAACTTCCGCCCGTTGTCGTCGTGGTGAGCCTCGCGGCTGCTGGAAATGCGTCGTACGAAGGGGACAGGAGTCTCTTTCGTCCCTCGTACGAACCCCGAATCCGTTTTCTCCCCCTTATGATTAAAGGTAGCTCCCCTTGAGCGTCTGCACCCCAGGATTGGGGGTTGTTTTGAAGTTGCGGGTTGTGATATATTTTTTTTGGGGGGGGGGGAAGCCTGTGAAGGATTTCTTGTGGGTTGAGAATCGAGCAACGTTTAACGCCATATTTGAAGCGACACGGAAGTAATATTTCAGGAGTGGTGCGCAGTGGCCTAGAGGCGGAGTTCTGGCTTTGCAATCCGGAGGCTTGTGAGTTCAATCCTAGGTAGAGGCAGATATTTCTCTCTCTAGGTATACTGAGAATATATCTGCCGAATAGAACTCCGCTCTGGCAACAGGAGGAGCATCCGGCCAGTCTAGCTCCATTCATTTGCCAGAGGGTAAGTCATCTGTGTATCAAGTACCAGATTTAAGAATCGCCCCCAAAATCAAAATTCAGGCCCAGCCCAGACAGGAACAAACTCAAAAAAAATAATAATAATTCCAAACTTTTCCACCCTCGGTTCTGAAATCCTTTCCCGGCCAGAAGAAAATACACTCTAGACATGCTCAGGAAGACTCCTTTTATTCTTCCCAAAGCCCGGCTCCAGGATCCCAGCAAAGGGGAGGCAGCGACTCAAGCTCTCCTTGTACCCGTACCCCACCCCACCCCAGAGCTGACAAGATTGCAGAGAAGCAGAACACGACGGTGCGCGGCGGGAAGGCTCATGCGTACGCCGCGGCTCACAAGCATTTGAGAAGGAAAGCGTTGCAGCTGGCTCTCCGGGGACAGTCGCAGAGTTTGCCTATGCGGGGGCCTTTCCGGATGGCGCAGGGGTCGCCGAAGGAGCACTGGAAGGGAAGAGGGGGGGGGGAGGGTCAATCCCCTGTCTTTCCTCCCCCTCCCGCTCCCCCAGTCTGTGTACCCCCCCCCCACTTTTCTTGAGTCCTTTTTTGCTCTTCGCACGACCAGGACGCTCCCTTCTCTTCCTTAAAACTCAAGCGGAACAATTCGGGAAAACAGCTAGGACCCGGGGCCGAACGGGCAGGGGTCAGGCTAAATGACCTCTGGCGTTTAGCCTGCGAGAATGAAAGATTCCGGGAATCCGGTTCTGTCGTGCTCGGATCTTACCTATCGGGATTGCGGGCAAGGACGTCCTTCCCAGAAAGAGGGAAAAGTCGCGTGGATGCTCCCCCCTCTTAAATTGTGTCCTCCCCACCCCGCCATTCCCCAAATATATACCTTGGGCACTTGGTTGAATTTCTTCTCCCAAGCCGAGACTTTCTTATGCTGCAGTTTTTCAAGCACTTCCTGCAGTTCGTCCAGCTGGAAGGAATCAAAACGTGGCAAACATATATTTTTTGTAATGTCTGTTTCCTGCCCCTCCTCCTTTTCTCTAAAAAAGTGAGACCAGGTAGACTGCCTCTAAACCTGGAGGCTCCACTCAGCCTCCCTCCCTTCCCCGGTTCACGAAAGGCAACGAAGTCCTTAAACTGCAGGGCTCCCGAAATCAAACCAGGTTGGCAAACCGGAATTGCTTCCTTGCTGCGTAACGGGCTCGATGGGGGGGGGGGTGTTAATGGGCTGTGGCGATCCCCCCCCACTCCCCCGGGGGGTGTCTTATTTTCCGAGTTTGGGAAGGGGTCTTTGCTGCTAAAAAAATAAATAAAATCTCTCCGGGCCTTTGATTCACACACTCTGAAGTTTGTTGCCGCTCGATTAATAACGAGAAAATGAAATATTTTCCGGTTTTACAAAAAAACAATTATCCTAATTGCTAAAAACGGATTGGAATAATCAATCAACACTACTCTTGGGAAACTCTGGATTACAGCACCCATCATCCCCTGCCTAGCTGCTTACCCAGAGGGCGGAAGGCTTGACCTATCTCCTGTGGCTGTGCAGCCCTGCCCGTGGACGCATGCTGGCTTAATGGTGGTTTGTTCCCCCCTTTATCTTGCTTTCGGGCACCGTTCCCCGTTTTATGCATGTGGGAACGGACACCGACGATGACAACCCAGGTTCCCTGCTGTGTTTCCTTGCCCTCTGGAGCGATCCATGCTATGTATCCATCCTAGCCCTCCATCCGGCTACCGATCCTGGTTTACTCACCAGCTCCTTCTGATGCCCTGGGTGTGTGTGTTTCAGCGGCAGTACCGATGTCCCTTGGTCAGCCGGTCCTCCCCGGACCATGAAGAAGAGGCAGAGAAGGGTCACAATGACCCAACGGACCCCAATCATGGTTGGCGTCTCCTCCCGGGGGCCAAATCCACAGGGAGAGCAACGTCTCAGCACCGACGGGAGCTGTCCGCGGTGCTGAAACCCAAATGTTCTTTGCCTGCTTCACGCAAGAAAGTGTATCCTGCACCGTTCCTCCGGCAGCCCACGCCCGCCTCCCCGGGGACGGAGAGAGAGGGAAGGGGGGGTGTGTTTAAGCGCGGAAGACTGAATCCCCTTAAACCCGGTTTCCTAGGGATTTGGGCTCCTGGCAGGGATGGGAAGGAGGCCAACCAGCCAAGGATGATGGGCAAGCGAGTGGTTTCGCCGTGCCCCAGATTTTCAAAGCTGGATGGTGTGTGTGTGGGGGGGGGGAGTTGTGGGTGGCTGTGGGCTGCCAATCACGCATTTCTCTAGGTTTTTTTTTTTTAATATGCATTTGCAATTTGGCAGCGCTGAAAAATTAACACCGTTGGCTTTGATTCATCCGTCTCTCTGGACGAATAAATATCCCGCCGGGCCGGAACTGAGTAATTCATCCAATAAAGCTTGGCTTCTGATGGGCACCGCTAATATATCCCGACTATTTTTGGGCGGATTAATTATTAGCATTCATCAAAGCTTCAGCATTAATTGGCCTCAGAAAGCCAGCTCTGCGAGTTTTTCTTTTTTCTTTTTTTCTTGTTCTTGTCGTTCACTTTTTCTCTTTCATCTCTGGCCGAGAAAATTGCGGGAGGAGGAGGGAGGGAGGGAGGGAGGGAGGGAACGCTGATCCCCGAGCGGGCGAGAGAGAAAGAGGTGGTGAAGGAGTACGGTAAAAAAAACGCCAAGCGGAGGGGAAAGGAGAGCAGGGTTTCGAGAGCGGTAGACTGCTCCTGGAGAGGGAGGGTTGAATTATCCCGCCCCCATTGGAACGTGTTGGGTTGCGCTGGCCTACAAGCGGGATGAAAGATTTGATTTGATCGGTTGGCGCCTCGCACTTCTGACCGTCGTAGTGTGTGTGTGGAAGAAAGAAGAGAGGAAGCAGGAGGAGGAGGAGAAAAAAGGAAGAGGAAGAAAAGGAGGAGGAAGAGGAAGGAGGGGAAAGAGGAGGAGGGGGGAGGAGGAGAAGGAAGGAAGAGGAAGGAGGAGGAGGAAGAAGAAAAAGGAGGAGAGGAAGAGGAGAAGAACGAAGAGGAAGAAGGAAGAGGAGAAAGGAAGAAAGTGGAAGAAGAATAGGAGGAGGAGGAGGGGGAGGAGAAGAAGAAGGAAGGTGGAAAGAAGGAAGAGGGAGGAGGAGGAAGAAGGAAAAGGGAGAAGAAAAATAAGAGGAGGAGAAGAGGGGTAGGAGGGGAAGAAGGAAGAAAGGAAGCAGAAGTAAGAGGAGGAGAAAAAAGAAGGAAGGAGTGGAAGAAAAAGGAGATGGAAAAGAAAAGAAGGAGGAGGGTAGATTCCTAGGATGTTGGCAGCAACCCGTATCAACCATCAATATTCACTTGACTTGAGTTTCATGTTTAACGAATAAACGTTTATAATAATCAGATGAAGGCAAACGGGGTCGAACTGTGGCCTGTAGCAAGAGTATCCCTTCTTCCATAAAAAAACCCTTTTAATTTTAATTTTTTCCTCCCACTTTGGCTTCACTCTAATAACCCCTCGCTTGGTTTCTTCCCCCGAGAGTTCACTTAGTGACTCTTAACTGAAAAAAGTGACTCGTGACCCTTGCTTCACCCTTACGACCGTTGCGGCCTCCCCTTGGTCGCTCGATCAAGATTCAGACGCTCGGCAACGGGGGCTCATAATTTACGACAGCCGCGGCGTCCCCGGGGCCCCACGACCTCCCTTTTGCGACGGTGGGAAGAGAGATCCACTTAGCAACCGTGTGACTAAACGTAACAACTGCAGCGATTCCCTTAACGACCGCGGAAAGAGAGCAACGTTCGAACGTCTCGCTTAGCAGCGGAAACTTTGGACTCGGTTTATGGCTGTGTGGCAAGGACTTTCTTTCCGAGAAGATCATTTGAAGCGGGAGGCAGGAGGGAAAGGAAGGAGACGGAGGTTTCAAGCCCTTTCTCTCGAAATCTTCTGGTTGAACAGATTCACCGCCCTGTTTTACGCCTGCGTTACTGTTTATAAATTGAATTTTTGAGGATGGAAAGTTTCTTGCCGTGAAATCCCCCCGCCGGCAGGAGATCGGATGGAAGAGCCTCTCCGGAATTGCAGCTCCATCTAATGAGGTTTCTTGGGAAAATGAACCTGCAGGATCGAGAAAGGATTGAAGCGGGCGTAGGAAGCCTCCGGCGACGTTCGGCTTCTGTTAATTAAACTCCTTTGTTTCCAAGCAGGATAATTTGCTTTCTGTCAGAGGTGGGGGGGAGGGTTGGGGGGGGGGAACGACGACACGGGAGAGAATCCGATTGACGAGAAGACAAGAGCCAGCGAAGAACGAACGGAAGTCATTAAAAGAAAAAAACGAAATCCCGGGAATGATTTTCAACCTCCAACCTTTGGAACTGAAAATTTTGACTCCTCAACCCTCCCGCGGACTACAAGTCCCATTGTCGTCCACCCTGACACTGCTGGGTGGTCAGGTTTGAATCCTCAACCCTCCCGCGGACTACANTTGAGCCGGTGAGATTTGAACCGCCGAACTGCAGCTAACAGTCAGCTGAAGTGGCCTGCAGTACTGCACCCTAACCACTGCGCCATCTCGGCTCTACTACTATTATTACTAATAAGTAATCAATGTGAAATCCGGCGAAACAACTGGCCGCTGTGATACAATTGTGCTGTTGTGATGATAATAATAATAAGTCATTTGGGAAGGAACACCTGATATTCCAGGAATGGAATATGCAGGGGTATTTTTGCATTTATTGCGGGGGAAAAATTGAAGAAAAATGCTTAGTTTTGCTTTCTTCTAATAGTACCAAATACATTTAACCTTGAATCATTTATGTGTTTATTAATCCGATTCATATCCAAACACCTCTGAGCGTGGGCAAACCAACCAAGCCATTAATTAATTGCATAACGATAATTTAATAAGGGTAGCCTTACTTTATTTTCCATGATCCAGCCAAGTTTATATATAAATGAAAGCGTGAACTTCAAACTTCTGGTTTATTAACTGATCTATTTAATTATTTTTATCTTGGGGGGGGGTTTGCGGGGTGTGTGTGTTGGAGTTGCTTATAATGCTTTCCTTCCCCAAATATTCTAATAAATTAATAGGGTAACAGATTCACAAATTTGCTGCCAATTTGAGCTGGTTGTCGAGTGTCCAGAATGCCTATAAAGTGGGGGGGGGGGATATGTGGGTGTTTGTGACCGTCGGAGCGTCAAAGTCGACTTTTTGAAAAGTTGGTCGTAACTTGGAATGGCCGCTAAGTGAGGACTGTCGTAAAATTCTCCCCCGTTCCTTCCTGTAGGCTGGCTTCTTGGGGCGTCGAAACCCGCAGCGCATGGACAAGGCGCCACGGACTTAAAAAGGGGGTGCGACGTTTGAGTGCGGCAAATTTTGGAGGCTTCCCAAATTGAAGAGGCTGTCGATCGGTGCGTGTTCGGGATGGCCGGATCGTGGGACTCGGATACGAAACTGGAGGCCAAGATGGTCTGGAACCCGTATGAGACCACGCCGCGCTCGGTGCAGGCGCTGGAGCTGAAGCTGGGCTCCCTGGTTCTACTCCTGTTGGTGACCCTGCTGTGTGCGTTCATCCCGCTTTGGCTGTTCCGGAGGCCGGGGTCTGCCCTCAACAGTGGAAGCTTTGGTATGTGGATTTGGGGGNTCCGAGACTCCTGGCCAGGTTCTGCCGAGATCGTCCTGGCCGCTCTCCAAGCCAGATAAGGTCTGTGACCGTAAATCCTCCTTCGAAAGACTTTGCTGGATGTGAAGGAGCAGAATTCACAGCAAATCAATAAAAGGAGTTTTTTTGTCGGGATGAGGAGTTTGCTTCATGCAGTAGGAAAAAACAAACATCCTCATTTCTTACCGGCTCTCCAGACCATCCAAATATTCCTTTTTGCGTCGACGGCTGTCTTGGGCCGAGTGCTTGTTTCGAATCTTCCTCCGTATTTTCTTGAGGATTCGCTCTTCCGCCTGCGGGAAAGGTTGTAAAACAGGGCGAAACTCCCTTCGCGACCGCCTCGCTTAGCAGCGAGTGGAAATTATGGGCTCTATTGAGGTGGTTTAAACCGAGGACCGACCCCCTGAAGTACAGTTAGCTCCTCTGCTCTGGTTAGTCTCCTCTCTGGCCTACCTGGCAGGGCTGTCGTCCTGCCTGTTCGACCCTCCCTCCTGCTTGAAGGCTACCCGGGCAGGGGGGAAGTGGGTGGGGGGGTCTCTCCATCCCTTTGCCCAGCTACCCACCTGGGAAAGGTGTAGAACGTCGTGCAGGAAGACCCCCTCCTGGCTAAGAAGGTGCCTCTCCTCCTCCGTCAAGATCTAGAAGTATTACGGGGGGAAGCTGATGAGCGGAGGAAGGAATGACCCATCCCGGGGATTTCGGGGGGCTTGGAGACCCATCTGGGGGGGCGGTGGATGATGGGGAGGAGGAGAAAGCCCTCTGAAAGCCATTAAAAACCAGTTTCGACAAAATGAAACCGAAAGCAATCCAGCGATGGCGGCCCCCGGTGGCGAAGCTAAGGAATTGCAGGGCCACTCGCTGTACCAATCGGGACGCTTTGCGGCCGCCATTGGCTGCTGAGGATCATGTGAGCCTGGAAAAAAAGTTTTCTAGACCCGCCCAGGAGTTTTTGTTTTTTTTTTAAATTAAAAAAAGCCGCCAGGCCCAATTAAAGAGTCCTCCGGGACATAGAGCTGGAAGGAAAGAACGGCCAATCCATGGCCCAAGCCACTAGTGGACCCTGCAAGGCCAGGACCCGCCCCCCACATACACTGATTGGCTGCTGCAATTTTTTTCCCCAACTGAGGCATTCTGGGAGTTGAAGTCCACCTGCCTTAAAGTTGCCAAGTTGAAGAAATGCTAAACTTTGAGTTTCCGGATGCAAATTTTTGCCTCTGTGTGTGTGTGTGTGTGTGAAATAACAACTTTTAACCCACTGGTGTGCGCTCAAATCACCAATGACTGGACTAGATCCATAAATTGTATGCCAGAATATTTTAATTTACCCCTTGATCGTATTTTACCTGCTCCGTGGGAATCTCGGCTGCGTTTAAGCGGGACCTCCCATCCAAAAATTCCAGCGATGCTTGGCTCGCAATGCAGATGGGTGGGTGGGTTTCAGGGGAGCCCCAATTTCCTAGAAAAGAACCCCCCCCAAAGTATCAACCACGTTGCTGATATGATAACATTGGTAAAACTTTCATTTTCAGGAAGGAGGGAAGGAAGGAAAGAAAGAAAGAGGGAGGGAGGGAGGAAGGAAGGAGGAAGGAAGGAAGGAAGGAAGGAAAAAAAGAAAGAAGGAGGGAGGGAGGAAGGAAGGAAGGAAAGAAAGGAGGGAGGGAGGGAGGAAGGAAGGAGGAAGGAAGGAAGGAAGGAAAGGAAAGGAAAGGAAAGGTGATTTAGATTTTGGCTCAACTCCTCTGGCCTAAATCTGATTAAACTTTCCAATTCGCTGTTTAGGGAAACTGAGGCAAGTTTCTCTCCCCCCACCGCACGCCGGATGCTTACCAAGAGTGTTGATGTCTTCCAAGGTCCCCGGATCGCAGAGGACCTCCAGGACGATGGTGGGCGATGGGTCGTGAGGAAGGGGGGCTCGTCCGAGACTGGAGGAAACGTCACCGATGTTCTCCGGAGACGCCGTTGAGCTCCTGGGATGGTAGACTTTGTTGGGGTTGATCCGAAGTTGTAAAAGCTCTTCTGCGTCGTCGTCGTCAGGAAGACGCTGAGCCAGGGGACACAAAACGGGTACAAAGCCACGGATGAATTGTTTCTCGTTGCGTCATAAGTGCGAGGACTTTTTTGGGTAACTCCAAACATCGCTAAACGAATGTCGGACGTTGAGGGCCAGATTCTGGGTCTTACCTGCAGCTGGCCAGCCGGCCAGCTCCTGGGTTTATTTGGAAGAGAGACGTAGGGATGATCTTGAAAGAGGGTTTGGACGCTGGAGTTTACGGCAGCAAGGCTGGGTCCGGAGTTCGGATCCTCCGGTCCGTCGAAGAGAATTTTGAAAACATCCGTGCTGTCAAAATCCATTTTATAAAAAGAGTGGAGCCCCTCCAAAAAGTCAGAATCGGAATGAGAATAGAGCCGGAAGGGACCTTGGAGGTCTTCTAGTCCAACCCCCTGCTCAAGCAGAATCCCTATGCTATTGCAGAGAAGGGACTGTCCAGTCTCTTAAAAGCTCCAGTGATGGAGAAGGAAGGAAGGAAGGAAGGAAGGAAGGAAGGAAGGAAGGAGAATAGCAGAATAACAGAGCTGGAAGGGACCTTGGAGGTCTTCTAGTCCAACCCCCTGCTCAAGCAGAATCCCTATGCTATTGCAGAGAAGGGACTGTCCAGTTTCTTAAAAGCCTCCAGTGATGGAGAAGGAAANATATGTTTCAAGTTCGGTCTCTCATCTCTCCTGGCCTTTTGCTATAAAAAATTAAAATCTTGCAAAAAAGAAAAACACACACACAAACAATCTTAATTATTTTGCAGTTATTTTGCAGTTGAATGAGGATTGTGTGCAGCTTGGAAACGTCACACCAAACCGTCATTCCCGGTTAATTTTTCCCCCTCTGTCCTCCTCCCGTTTTCTCCCGACAGCCCCTCAACGGAAAACCCTCAGCCTGGTGAGTTGTTTTGCCGGCGGCATTTTCCTGGGGACCTGTCTTCTCGACCTGCTTCCTAGTTATCTAGCCAGCATTAACGAAGCCTTGGACGATTTGCAAGTCACGGTAAGTGGGGCTGCGCGATGGGCCGCCATTTTGCAAAACCTAAATTCCAGGTTTTAATTCCCTCTCGAGAGGAAAGCAAGCGGGGTTTTGGAGGGTATTAGAGGACAGATTAGCGGGGGGGGGGGGGCTTTATTTTATTTTATTTTTAATATCGCAAATCAATGTGTGAAGCGTGTGGCCAGCGTTCCAAGTTATCATGCAGAATTAAATCAGAGTGCAAGGCAAAACGATCCTCAATTGGCACTTGGGGGTCGCACTTTCTAGTACAAATAAAACGAATGAAATCAATCGTAATAATTACATTCAATCCAAAAGGGGAAGAGAGAGAGAGAGAGAGAAAGAGAAAAGGAAGAGCAAATCAGAAGAACAACAAATAGAAGGGTGGGCCATTCATCGTCTATAGCCTGCTCCGATATTTTAATGCTACGCTTTAAAAGGGAGAAAGAAGGAAAAGCAAATCAGAACACTAAAAAAAGGGGGGGGGAATCATCTATCCATCATCCCTTACCCGCTTTAATACTTTGATTGCTATGCTTTTTCTATTGACTTTGCCTCCCCAATTCTTCCCTTAAATCTTTATCTCTTTAACTGCTTCTTGGCGGTTCATTCTAACCCTCTTTGACCCTCTTTGCAGGGGGAGTGCTAATGGGGCAAAAATCCTAACCGTTTTCCTGCGAGTATTGCAGGAGAAACTTTCCCCTCGTTCCTTCGGTGGCTGTAAAAACCCACAAATTAGTGCCTAGCTTCTGTGGTAGACTGCCTCTCCCCTTGGAGGTTCTCTTTTAGGTGTCCTGACTGGTTAAGGGGGGGGATCGTTGCATTTTTTAAAAATTGTCGGCTCGCTTTTCTTTTCTCTGTCTGAGATTAGTCGTTCGCCGGATTAAAGAACGGCGACGCTTCCGAGATATTCGGGCGTCCTGTCTAGTTGAGAAGGGGAAGTTTGGAGTCTGGAGCAGGGAACTCAAATTGATGTCGTCTTTTTTCTCTATCCTCTCCCCCCCCCCCCCCCCCCCCGGGCAGCTCCGTTTCCCTTTGCAAGAATTCATCATGGCGATGGGCTTCTTCATCGTTCTGGTGTTGGAACAGATCGTGCTGGCTTATAAGGATCCGTCGGGATCTCTGGAAGAGACTGAAGCTCTCTTGAACTCCGCTTCCCATCAGCATCCGTCCCTGCAGCAGGACCAGAGTTGGCCGGAGGGATCTCAGCGGCCCCTGGCTCGCGACCGCCTGGCCGGCGAGCGCACCCACGTCCACGTGGACTTCAACGCCCACTCGGCCATCCGCTTGGTGGTGCTTTTCCTGGCGCTCTCGCTCCACTCCGTCTTCGAAGGGCTGGCCGTGGGGCTGCAGGAGGACGGCGCCCAAGCGTTGGAGATCTGCCTGGGGCTCCTGATCCACAAAGGCGCCATCGCCTTCAGCCTGAGTCTCAAGCTCTTGCAAGGGCGGCTGCGTCCCCGGGCCGTGGCGATCTGCCTGGTTATCTTCTCGGCCATGACCCCGTTTGGCATCGGGCTGGGGGTGTCTCTGACTGAAGTCCCCATGGCGGCTCTGTCCCGCCTCTCCCGCAGCGTCCTGGAAGGCTTAGCCACGGGAACCTTCATCTACGTCACCTTCCTGGAGATTCTGCCTCACGAACTCGCCTCTTCGGAGCAGCGTATCCTGAAGGTCATCGTTCTCCTGCTCGGATTCGCCCTGGTCACCAGCATTTTGTTCGTGAAGATCTGAGCCGGGGCGGCAGGCGCGGGGCAGGTGGAGAAAAACCAGCCAGCTCCCGGACACAACTCTGTGGGAAGCGTCCTACCGATTCCTCCTTACGGGAGTTTCCCGAATATTTTTCCTCGGTTCCCCCATTTTCCGTTTGCCAAAAACTTTGGCTCCCATCGTTCTTGCCTTCTCCCTCTTAACGGGGGCTACCAAACCCCCCACCTCTTGAAAAACTGAACTCCGTTGATAGCCAAGCCACCCATCAAACCTGCCAATCCATCCCGGGAAGATCAGGGACAAAGATTCCCGCACGACAAAATATCTACTCCGCTCCGCTCAAACTCCAAATATTTTCTGCATCGAGTCAAATCGGAGCTTTGTGGCGGAGTTAGGACTTCGATTTAGTGCAAAACGAGACTGTTTGGGTTGGTTTAATAAATTGGGTTGGGTTGTGGGGAGGGGGGGATATTGTGGGGGGGGGGGGGAGAGATATATTTTTGGTGCCAACCATCTTGCTTCAGCTTTGAGTGAGACAACCACAGTGCCTTCATTTTTCCTCCAGTGCCTTAAATGTTTGTCCGACATGGGAAACGAGCAAATTGACCCAGGTTTTATATTTTCGAGTTTAGGATTATTTCAACGCCTTTGACAAGAGTTTGAGGCTGTCTCATCCCTTGGACAATCTCTGTTTGTCTCCATCCCAGCTTCTCAACTCGGTCCATCATGGTTAAAGCTCGCTCGCTCCGACGCCTTAAGTTTAATAGTTTCCAAACATCCCGGCTAAATGTCGGGCCACTTCGAGCACCACGTGACGGCTGACGGAAAACCCGCTAAGCTGCGGTTGAGCGTCCGTGGGCAGCTGAAGACGTTGCCAAGGGCAGTCATAATCCGAGCCAGAGGGCACTGCCAAACGTTGCCATTTATGGATTCGCTCGCTGGGTTGAGAGGCTGGAGAAACAAGGAAACTAACCAACTTAAATCATGGTTTAGATTAACTGGTCAGTTTTACTTAAACGAAGGCGTTAGGAATTTGGGGATCTCGGTTAGCAGAAGAGAGGGCCCTTTCCTTAAACTCCTTAAAATTTAAATTCCAAAAGGCCAACAATGCAGAGGACAGTTGCGAAAACCCCTGGAAAGCTTTTCCGTTTGAAACGAACGAATTTATTATTATTGTTGTTTTTATTTTTGTGCGTGCCTGGAAAGCAGCTTCAAGAAAGACTCTCTTGTTCTTAGTTTCGGGCCTCATGAATGGGGAGAGCAAAAGGGGGCGAAAGGAGCACGGGATGGTTACGTTTTCTGCCTTTTATGGAGTGGAGGAAAAAACAACAACATCTATTTAAGAGTGAAGGCCGCAAAGAGATTTCCCGCCCTCCTTTTTTTACATTTCGAAAAGTTTTCCTTCCTTTTCTTTTTCGTAACACACTACGTTTTACTTCGGTCCCCTTGCCCAGGTGTGCCGTTCAAAAGCGACCTCTCCTAATTAGGATTTTTTTCCCTCCCCTCCCTAGAGGTCCCTGCATCACAACGTCCATCGTTCCCGGCCCGCTGGGGGAAAGATGGGACGTAGAATCCGATGCATCTAGGGGAAAAATAAATAAATCGGGAGCTGTTTTGTCTTTTATATATATATAGATAGATAAGATAGATTTGCAAATTCTGCAGGGTTCCCAGTTTGTAACGGGGAGTGGGTGGGGGGGGGGGCAGCTGCGGGTTGTGAGGAGAGACGACAACTTCGCAAAAGGGAAATAAAAGCTTGTGTGTTCGCCCGGGAATTGAAGTGACAAACTGGGACTCGGCTTAGGTTAGAACGATCCAATAAAAGTATTTTTAAATTTTTTTAACTAGATGCAGTTTGCTTCCTGTGCTGGTTTTTTATTCCTGTTGTGATTTTGGGTGGGTGGGAACAGATCTATATATATAAGATTTTTACAACCGCTGGTAAGCCCCAATTATGGGAGGAAGCAAATATATATATATATATATGTATATGTATACATATGTATATGCATGTGTGTGTGTGTTTTCGTAGATTTTATATATGTATATTTCGTAGATTTTATATATGTGTGTGTGTGTGTGTGTGTGTTTTGAAGACTTTTATCAGCTGAATTAAAAATTGAGAATTGACCTGGCTTGATCGCCCTCATTTGCTGTAAATCTTAATTAATGCACAATGGAATCGCCCCGGGGTTCAATTTAGTGTGCTCTAATTGGCATTTTGTGTCTCTGTGTGTGTTTCTCCTAGCTCCAGCTTTCGAAGGTGCTGAATTTTATCCCTCAAAGGCCCTTAATTTTTCGGATTTTTTTTCCCCTTTAAAAGAAAAAACAACCGGAAAAATTAAGGGCCTCTTGCGGGATAAAATTCAACACCTTTGAAAGCTGGAGCTAGGAGAAACACAGAGAGAGACACAAAAATGCCAATTAGAGCAGGCTAAATTGAACCCCGGGGCTATTCCATTGTGCATTAAGATTTACAGCGAATGAAGGCGAATATATAAATATATATATTATTATATATATATATATAAAATATTCTGTCTTATAACATGGGTATAACAATCCATGCACGCCACGCAAACACACGCCCTTAAATGCTTCTTTTGAGTGCTGCAGAATTTAATTGGGCTTCTGTTAAGACTGCTGAGATTTGTTTTTGTTTTTTTAATGATTGTGCTGTTTCGTTTGCAAAAGCCTTAAGCCTGCCAGGAGAGGCGGTTAGCTTCGGGCTACGAAAAAGAAAAAAAACAAGTTCCTACATCAATTAATTAAGGTTTATTAGATTTATATAGAGCACCATCCTTTGAAGGAAGGCTAAACACTGTTGAGCGTGATAAGATTTTAGCTTTTTTTGTGTTACGGGTAATCCTCGAGTTACGACCGCAATCGGGGGGAGCAGAATTTCCGTTGCTAAGCCAGGCAGTTCTTCTGCCTCCTGATTTTGAAAAAATGACAGGTTGGGGAGGTTTTTAAAAACTCAACTTGCAACCCAGATATTGTTAAAAATGCAGAGCAGAGCTAGCCAGATTAAAAATAAATATTTTTTTTTTAATACGTTGCCTTGAAAGGTGGGGCCAAGATACACAGAAAGTTAGTAAATAATAAGTTACTTGGTAAATAGCACTGTGTTCATTTGCACAATATGTATTATATTCTGGGGACACAACTGGATTTTCTTTTAGTGAAGGTTAAAGAAAATATATAAAAGAGGGAATAGAAAGCAAAATGGGAAGGAGAATTAAGAAGAGTGAGAAATGGCATGGAGGTGGTAAGTTCTCCAGGATCAGGTAGGTAGGTAGGTAGATGGGTGGATGGAAATAGATAGATAAAGAGAGGGGGGATAGATAGGTAGGTAGGTAGGTAGGTAGATAGGTAGACAGATAGAAATAGATAGATAGATAGATAGATAGATAGATAGATAGATAGATAGNCCCAAAACAACTGGCATAAATCCTCCAAGCTGCGAAACTTTTCAACTCTGCAAATATTGGCCAGGGACTAAGATTTGTCTTCTGAGGACATAAACACACATACACACACAACCCCACACCTTCCTTTTGGAGGTGCGATTTGGGGGAAGGGAAAAAAAAAAAAACTAAAATTAACCCTTCGCTCCCCGGTCTTTGCCCTTCTCGTTTTGCAACGTGGGGTTGGCGAGGAAGAACAATGTGCCGATTTGTCCTCCGACAAGGAAGTTGTTGGCTTTATTTGTTTTTTTACATTTTTTAAAACTTGTTTCTCTACCCAGGATCTTTAATATCCTGAAACTGCCTTTCCGGGACCAACCCACGAGACTTCGGCCAATGGAAAAGGGCTAAAAATAAAGGCCAAGGATTCATAAACTTTGCCCCGAGGCTCAGAACGGTCGTTATCAAAGAAAAAAAAATCTGGGAAAGGAAATGTGTTTGCACACTTAGGTTCCCCCCCAGGGCACAATAGGCTGGGATGTAAATCCCCAAATATCAATTTCCAATAAAAATTCTAATTCGACGGAAGAGTGAGAAAGAAAAAGTGTTAGAACGTGCGGGGATGGATAGGCTAAGAATGGAAATAAAAGAAAGAGGAGAAATTGAATACTATTTGATTTGGGACACGTGGTATAACTGGTTAGAGCAAGTGTGGTGCCATCTGCGGCTCCGGAGCCATATGCGGCTCTTCGGGCCCTCTGCTGTGGCTCCCTGTAGGGTGATCCCACCACTGGCTGGCCCCACCCCTCGCCCTCCCCTCCCAGTCACTCCTTGCCTCGCCCAGCCGACGGCTATTTTTGGCCACTGCACGTCCCTTTTTCGGGCTTTTTTTAAATCCGTTTTTGAGGCTTTTTTGGCCCCTTTTTTTACTTTTCTTGGCCCATTTTTGAGGCTTTATTCGGCCTATTTTTGAGGCTTTGGGGGGCCCGTTTTTTCAGCTTCCTTGGCCTGTTTTTGAAGCTTTTTTCAACCTGTTTTGGAGGGTTTTTCCACTTTTCTTGGACCATTTTTGAGGCTTTATTCGGCCTGTTTTTTCGGCTTTTCTTGGCCTGTTTTCAAGGCTTTTCTTGGCCTGTTTTGGAGGGTTTCCCCACTTTTCTTGGCCTGTTTTTGAAGCTTTTTTCAACCTGTTTTGGAGGGTTTTTTCCACTTTTCTTGATTTTTGAGGCTTTTGTCATCTTATTTTTCCAAAAAAACCCAACCCCCCCCCCCTGTAAAATGGGCAGAAGAAGCCTCAAAAATGGGCCAAGAAGAGTCTCAAAAATGGGCGAAAAAAGCCTTTGATCTCCCTGGAAGGTCCTTTCACACGTGACGATCAACCCAGTTGAGAATTCAGCTGAAAGCCACTTTTTTCTGCATTGCGTCTTCCTCATTGGCCAAGACTTGCTGTCCGTCTTGCGATTCGCCAATCGGCACGCTAGGAACAGACTTTGGGGCCCGCCTTTTTTGGCATCTGGCCTCATTGGCCAGGCTTGCTGTCCGTCTGAGCGTCCGCCAATCGGCACGCCAGGAATACCCTTCGGGTGCCGCCTCTTTCCAACCTAGCCTCATTGGCCAGGCGTGCTATCCGTCTGCGCGTCCGCCAATCGGCACGCCAGGAACAGCCTTCTGGCCCCGCCTCTTTCGGACCTGGCCTTTCTTAAAATTAATGTATTGATTTCGCCCTCCCGGCTCCGCCCCTTTCGAACGCCCCAGCTTAAAAAGGACGCCCTCCCATTGGCTGAGCCACGATTTTTTTTTGGTTTCCCGGCCGACACGCCCTTTCGAACGCCACGCCGAGAAGCTGATTGGCGGATG